AATGAGTCCCTGCCGTCAGGATATTAGCAATCAAGATTCACAAGATTTCTTGTGCTGATTACTGAGACAATAATGAATAAGGTTGATGTTCTTTCTTTATACCTAAACAATCAATATTTTATATCACGTTCTATAATCTTGCAACTCAAAGTAACACAACACTGATATCTGAGATCTTGTTAGAAATGGCAAGGTGTAAGTCTGAACTCCAGACCTATTGAACTGGAATCTTCATTTTAACGAGATCCCCAGTGAACAAAATGCACTTTAAAGTTTAAGAAACACTGTTTGTAACCATGTAATTTTCTGCATTTCTGAGCAAATCACATCTAGAAAATAAATTCCAAAAAAATCAATTAAGATTGGATAAGCTTACTTTTGACTAGAGGACTATAAGTTGCTTCCTTTTACTTATATCCTGGTAAAACACATGATACAGTATTTGGTTAGAATAATACTATTTAAAATAACACATAACAATTATACCCTTTTGCTAGGTCCAGTGTGATTCAGGAGAAGAATAAAGGTGACACTTAGGAGGCTAGCAAGAAATAGATGAAATTATAAGAATGTTTCCTGATGCTATGACACTGGGGAATCTTGGATCCAGGCACTGGTCTTTTGTTTTGAAAACTCCCACCAGAAAAATCTTCTGAGAGGAGTGATCTATCTTGTCATTGCCTTCACTTGCTTGTCATACTATGCCACCCTAGAAAATACATAAATGTGGGGAGCATCACTTCGGTTAGAGACATCTCTGACCATTCCTAGCGAGACCCATAATAATAGAGATATGACTGTGCATGGTGGCTTATGCCTGTAATCCTAGCACTTTGGGAGGTTAAGGAGGGAGGATCACTTGAGCCCAGGGGTTCGAGACCAGCCTAGGCAATGTAGCCACACCTCGTCTCAATGGGGAAAAAAAAATTAACTGAATGTAGTGGCACGCGACTGTAGTCCCAGCTATTCAGGAGGCTGAGTCAGAAGGATCACCTGAGCCCAGAAAGTTGAGGCTATGGTGAGCCTTAATTGTGCCACTGCACTCCAGCTTGGGCAACAGAGTGAGACCCCAGCTCAAATAATAATAATAATAATAATAATAATAATAATAGAGACAATGAGGAAGGAATAATTTATCTGACCATAAAATAGAAAATTAGCCATGGTTGTTCATTTGCTGCAGAGAGATTCACACTGGAGGCTAGATATGTGGGCTGCTTGGGTCTCTCTTGGAAGAAGATGCACTGACAATGGAGAGGAAAGTGGATGTAGAATCCACAGCTTGTAGAGTGAACCAACCTTCAGGAATCTTTCAAAGGAATGCCAAGGACATGAGGACACTGACATTTTAAGGAAAACCCTGTTTTCCATGATGTTCCAACTAGGGCTTCATGAGTCCATGTGACCTGGGATGCAAATGGGTAAAGGCAAGCAAAACAGAAAATGCACATCAAAGACAGAGCCCGGTGAATGAATGTATAAGTGGAAGGTGGGGAAGTGAAGGTAATAAAAACAGACAGTTATTTCAGTTCGGAATTATAGGACGTGAGGGGTATAGGGAAACAGACTGTTAGCAGAAACCAGAGAAGGGTCTTTATTTGGGGAGAAGGAAGACCTGCATTTGTTTGGTTAGCCGATGGAGAAGGAAGATACCGGGGGACCCCCCAAAAACTGGAATTTATTTATGAAAAATTGTGTTTTACATGTTTAAACCTCAGTCACCCTTAAAGGGCTTACCATTGATGTAATACACCAATATTGAGATGCTTTTTTCACTGCTCAGAAAATTTTTGAACTCATCAATTTTGATGCCTTTTAGTACTTCTGCCATTTTTTTGTTTCATCTCCTCCACACTGGCAGTACATTTCTCTTTAAGGACTTTTGACATCCAGGGAAACAAAAAAACTTGCTCGAGGAAAGATCAGCGAATAGGGAGAATAAGGCACGGGGTCATGTCATTTTTGGTCAAAAACTGCTAAATACGCAGTATGGTATGGGCAGGTGCATGGTGAAAGAACTATTCACTTGTTTGTCACAGCTCAGGACATTTCTTCTGCCAATTGTGACACAACGTTCTCGAAACTTGTCAACCGTTTGATCCCGAGGAACAAATTCCAAGTGTACTACAAGATAAGTCTGGGTTTTTTGGGTCCCCCCTCGTAAAAGGTCAGTGGAAGGATCAAATTTCTTGAGAATCTGGAAGAACAAGTAGAAGATCTGGAAATAAGTCACACAGATGGTGGTTATAACCTTGGAAAGGAGGCAGGACACCTCCTTCCTGGGGAGCGAAGGGCAGGAAAGGATGACAAGATACAGTCACAGTCAAATAAAATGTAGGGTCTTCTTGTAAGAAAGAGTGAGTGGCTGTGGCCAGTGTGACTGGGGCCATCTCCTGAAGTTTGGAATGCCTGTTGTAGGAATATAAGAGTGAGGGAGTGGCCAGGCTCGGTGGCTCAGCCTGTAATCTCAGCACTTTGGGAGGTCAAGGGGAGAGTATTGCCTGAGCCCAGGGGTTCAAAACCAGCCTGGGCAACATGATGAGACCATGTCTCTATACTCAATGACAAAAACTTACTGGGCATGGTGACGTGTATCTGTTGTTCCAGCTACTTGGAAGGCTGAGGCGAAAGGATCGCCCGAGTCCAGCAGGTCAAGGCTGCGGTGGCCGTGAGCTTGCCACTGCACTCCAGCCTGGATGACAGAGTGAGACTCCAACTCAAAAAAAATAAATAAATAAAGAAAAAGTGAGGGAGTGACAAAGTGACGGTATAGTGTATAATGTGAGCATGATTTTTTCCTCTTTTTGTTTTTTTTCCTTGTTTTCTTTTTTGTTTTGTTTTTCTTCTTTTATTTTCTTTGTTGTGAACATGCTTTTGAGGGTGAAAGGATGCTAGCAGATGGAACACCTGCACAACAGATGTCAACCTGCACCCTCCGCGGCAAACATAAGCACGTGGTCCCCTAAGAAAGGACCTGCTGCCCCCATAGAGGGAGCAGCTACTGGAGAGCGTGAGTGGTGAGGGATCTGGTGAGCCACTGTGGCCTCTTCTAGCGATGCTGCCAGTACAAGATCAGAATTAAAAGAGAATAGTAGGTCGACAAAGTTAGGGGGGAAGGTGAGGCAGGGATCACAGAGGGTCACGAAAATGAAGGCACCCTGGCCATCACCGACGACATTTTAATGGCAGACAATCATTTGCTAGTACTGCCCAGTAGGACTGTCTGCAGTGATTAAATGTTTTCTGTCTGTGCCATTCCAACGGTAGCCACTAGCCACATGCGGTTATTGAGTGACCGTGTGATTTATTTCAAATAATTTAAGTGGAAATCTAAGTGGCCGCAGGTGCCTACCATGTTAGAAAGTGCTGGTTCAGACTGAGCCAGGAGAGTGAAACCAGAGGAAGATTAGTGGAGACAATGAAATTCTATCATTTACAGCAACATGTGTGGAGTCAGAGGTCATTATGTTAAGTGAAAGAAGGCAGACACAGAAAGACAAATGCTGTATCTTCTCGTGGACATGTGAGAGCTAAAAAACTTGATCTCACAGGCATAGAGAATAGAATAATAGAAACCAGACACTGGGAAAGGGGGAGGGGGATGATGGAGGAAGAGGAGAAATGACGAATGGATACAAACATCTGGTTTGCTAGAAGAAATAAAACCTCGTGTTCAGTAGATTCTGGGGGTGACTATTGCTTACGGTAATCTCTTGTAAATTGCAAAATAGCTAGAAGAGAATAATTTGAATGTTTCTGTCATGAAGAAAAGACAAGGCTGGGCTTGGTGGCTCAGCCTGTAATCCCAGCACTTTGGGAGGCCGAAGTGAGTGGATTG